CTCCATTCTCCTCTTGGGATCTTGGGCACACACGCACACGCGCCTGGCGTGAGTTTTAAGCCACCGGGTCCGGAATGCGAATCACGGTTGACTACGTGGGAGTCCAGCGACACAGCCATTACGCTAACTGCTGGTCCCACCATCTCTTTTCACTTAGAGAACACACTCCCACTTTCCTCTTGATGTTGGGCACATTCCTCACCACCACTGCTTTGGCACGGTACTTTAATCTTTTAGTTAGTGTAGGCTTTTATAAAAGACGAAAAACTGTTGACTTCAGGCAGCTGCTTCTCACTCCAACAAAAAGCTCCTGTTCTTTGTTTGAAATGAAGCAAAGAAAGAAAGCAAAACACAAGTTAATATCAAAACAATATGTCTTGCTGTATTCCTGGGTAATGGGACCAGGCTAAAGATCCTCAATGAAACACCAGAGATAAGTTGACCTTGTTCAGGTCCCGAGAACCTAAGTAAGAAATTCCTGTTGTGCTCTGATGCCGAACCTGGAACCCATCTTGACCTACACCGTGAGGGGAGCCAGGAGAGATGGTACCCCACAGCTCTGCTTTCCACTGCACAGCCCTAAAGTCTCACTGTGGTGCTTCCCCCGGCACAAATGCAAGCCCGTGTGTGTTCATGGAAGTTCAGGCTGAAGAAAGCAGTAACAGAGTGTTCAGTGTTGGGTTTTACTTGTTGGAAAATGTTGAAAATTCATGTGTTCAGGGAGCAAAGAAAGTAGGGAGAGTGGTAGAATCTCTGCCTGGGGCTCCCACGTCCCCCAGAGTGGAGTTTCAAAGCCAGCTGGCCTCCTTCACCCAGGATTCCATCAGGGTGGGCATGAGGGCTCTCGCCTCTTATTCTGAGTAGCCCGTGGTTGCTCGTGGCCTCTCGTGACTTCCTGTCCTCTCTCAGATCGCCCTCCTTCCCTGCCTGGCTGAATGCCCTGGATTTACACATGATGCTCCCAGCTCCCGACTGTCCTGCCCAGTGACTGGTGATTGATAAGCAGTTTCGGTGTTGAGGAGTTTGATTATTTCCGACCAGGCCTGAGGGAGCCACCGCTGGGCCCTCTCTGCAGGGGTTGCTACCCTGTGATGACCACAAGTGGCACACCTTCTGCCTAATAAAGCCAAGGTCAGAGGTTCAGCCACGGTGGTGCACACTGCTAAGACTGCTCCACTGGCAGGACCACAGGGAGGCCTGGGTTCAATTCACGTGCAGTGGTGTGCAGCGTGCGCCTGTCATCGTAGCAACATAGAGGCTGAGGCAGGAAGACCACAAGCTCGAGGCTGGCCTGGGCAACATAATGAGACACTTTAAAAAAAAAAAAAAAAAGAACTAGGACATGGCGGCATCAGCCTGATGTCCCAACTGGGAGACTGAGGCAGAATTATGACATAGTAAGAACCTGTTAAAAATGAACAACCCTAAAACCTCTAAAGGTCAGAAAGTGAAAATTAACGTGAGAAATGACCTGGAATTAAAAACAAAAACAAAAAAAACCTAATTGCAAGTTCCTTAACTACTTACAAGCTGGACAGCACTGGGTACCTCGATTCATCTCTCTTGAGCTCTGGAAAAGAAGGGGTTGGCGAGGTCCCCACCTACGAGCCAAGGCCTGGTTACATCACAATCACCTGAGGCCATTGTTCAGAACTGATGCTCCCACACTTGACCACAGCTCTCAGTCAGCCTCCTGGGTGGGAGCGTAGTATGCCTGCTTAGCAAGCAACCCAGGTGATTCTGCTAAGCCCCTGGTGCAGGTCGGGGCAGCAGGTAATCAGTCTCTCTGACCAGGCTGAGCTTGCTGCTTCAGTAGCCAGGTGGGTGGGGCTGGACCTGGTGAGAGTGGCAGACTGTCAGAGCTCCCCCGGGGAGTGTGTTTGGGGGCCCCAGGGAGCCTGAGGAGGCAAAGGTTACCATCTTTCATAAATGTCGCAGGTTCTCTGTCCCCCTGGAGGGAAGAAGCAGGCACCACTGGTCTAGACCATCATTCTTACCAGAGGTTCTAAAAATAGGAATGAGGTCCAAATTCTGCTCCGAGGCTTGTGTGAGGGTGGAGAAGAGCAGAGCGGCCTGGGAGAGGTTAACACAGTGGTGACTTCTCCCCCCCAGGGCGAGGAAGGTTTTCTCTCTCCCTATCCCAGACAGCAGTGGTGCGGTCTGTTACCTTGGAGACGAGCTAACACTCCCTGTAGGGCCAACTTCACTATGAGTTGCTTGGAGGAGCTTGGAGAAACTAAAAGTGGGAACCGAGAGCAGCAGGGCCCCCGGGTGCAGGAGCCCCCTCCCAAAGAAGGAGAAAGAAATGAAGAAACGCCAGGTGAGGGCGAGTGTCACAGGGCTGATAGGGATGGAAAAGGACAGGGCAGGGGAGGCGCAGTCGCTAAGGGCTAGACTGGGTGAGAAGGACTGAGGGAGCCCGGGGTCTTTAGACTCTGTTCCCTGTGTGCCCAGCATTGCCTAGGTGCTGGGGTGCACGAGTGGACAAGGAAGCAGTGGAGCTGATCCGGGACAGGCCATGCCAGCTGGGAGTGAGCTAGTGAGGGGGCGGCACAGGAGGGAACAGTCCCCTCCTAGGGGATTGGGAACAGCGAATAGGTGCAGGGAAGACTTCCTGAGGATTCTTGTCAGGCAAGTGGCAAAGGGTGTTTCCAGAAGGACTTGGGCAGAGACGGGTGTGAAACAGTAAGTTGTGTGCAGGTCGGGGTTGCCAGGGAGCCGAGAGGCATGGGAGATGGGGACAGGTAAGCGAGGGCCGGATCCCAAAGAAAGGAAAAGCTCTGTGAAGACCTGCACAAGCCATTCCAGAATCCAGGCACACGGGCCTCTGAAATCATTAGGAGATGGTACTCACCGGAAAGGGGGACCCAGGGGTGCCCAGTGTTCATGAGGCATACCTGTGAATATTTCAGCTGTCCCTGCCGTTAGAGTCTACCAGGAAAGCTTACTGTTAGAAAGTCCGTTTTTTGTTTTGGTTTGTTTTCGTTTTTTAAAGACACTGCCACATTATCCTGGTGTTTCCTAGGAAACAAAACATCCTCCGAATAAAAAATTAAAGACCTGAAAGAGGAAGGCAAGTTGCTGAACGACCTGTAGGCTGTTCTATTTAATGATAGCATAAGGCCACATCTAAACGAGTGTTTAAGCTGCAACTTCATTTGGAGTTTCACACGTGCTGTTTCTTTGTTTTGTGTTGTTGCAAGTGGCAGAAGCCTGAGTTACTTCCACAAAAAGGTGGGGAACTGTAAGGAATGGGGTACCTCATGGAACCTAAGAGAAGAAAGGGAAGTCAGTTCTCACAGGTGCCTGGGATAAATAATTTGACATTCAAGAACCAAGGCAGTTTCTCAACCTCCTTTCCCTTTATCTTCCCTCCTCAAAATATTGATTGAGTGTCTGCCAGGCCCTGCTCTCTTGTAACTTGCAATATAATGGAAGAGAGACACCAGTTTTCAAAAATCACACTAATTAACGTGTCATTCCAAATTCAGATACCTGCTGTGAAAGAAAGGAGCGTAGTTCTATGAAAGCCTATATGAAACAAACCTGAAATAGAATGGGATGCTTGAAATTTCCTGGGGAAAGTAACATTTAAGCTGAAATGGCAAGTCGGGTAGGGAGAGGGGAGAAGAATGTTCCAGAGCAATGAAAAGTCCTGTGGTTAACTACATAGCACCCCAGGAAATGAAAAGGGAGGGTCCTTGAGGAACACAGAAGGGGAGAGCAGATGTGAAGTGGGAAATCCAGAGGCGCAGGTGAGCAGCAGCCAGACCACGTACAGCCTCAAATGCCATCCTAAGAATGTAGATCTTCATCCTAGAATTAAAGGGAAGCTTTTGAATATTTTGAAGCAGGAGGAAGGGAGGCATGTAAAACTGGATTTGTGTTTTTAAAAAATTACCCTGGCTTCAGTAGGGAGAACAGATTGGATAAGAGAACTGATGGGGTGGGTGCAGAGAGGCCAGTTAGAGTCTACTGCAGGTGTCCATGGCAGATTTGACAGTGACCTGGACTGGAAATATGTCAGTGGAGACAGAGTGAAGAGATTTAAAAGAGGTAAAATTGGTACCAGCAGGTGATGTAATGGTTGTGTTATAGTTGACCATGGTTTGAGTCCCAGACTAAGTGGCTTAAAACTCAGGTCCGGTGCATGTGCATTTGTGCCCAAGAGGAGAATGGAGAAGAAGGGATTGCAGCATAGCCATCCCTCACAGGGGGTGATTTCTCACTTTCTGTCTCTCTGTCTCTGTCTGTCTGGCAAGTACACGTGCCCTATAGCAAAATTATCTCTCTAAAAAAAAAAAAGGGGGAGAGAGGTCAAATTAACACCCTTGGAAGTGAGTGTCAAGACTAATTCCTAAGTTAGACTTACATGAGCAGATAAATTGTGATTGCTTTCTGGAAGCTAGAGAACAATGAAGAGAGAACAAGATTATATGGAGTATCTTGAGTTCAGTCTCTGGCACACTGAGCTTGAGATGCTCCAAGTAGAGATATCCAGATATCCAGTGTCAATGAACACACGTGTGTTTAGGAGCCTGAAAGGGATGTAGGTCTAAAATTTTCCTTCTGAGATTTGTTTAAGATTGCCTAGGAAGAGAGGAGAAAGCGAAATGAGAACAGTACAATTTAGCCTCGAGGAACACCAACTTTTTTTCTTGATCTTCATCGTTCTTTTTTTTGAGAGAGATTTTTCCTATAGGGTGTGTGTGCTCACCAGAGAGACAGAAGGTGAGAAATCACCCCCTAGGGGCAATGGCCACACTGCAGTTCCATCTCCTCCATTCTCCTCTCCAAACTTTTAGGCACTCATACACACACCCAGTGTGAGTTTCAAGCTGCTGGGTCTGGAACCTGAACCACAGTTGACCACAGGTGAGTTCAACACCTTAACCACTATACCATCTGCTGGCCCCAAAGAATACCAACTTCTAATGCTCATATGGAGGAGAAGGAGCCTGCAAAGGAGACCAAGGAGGAGCAGGCAGGGAGCAGGCAGGAGAGAGCAGCCCTCTGGAAACCAAGGCAAAAAATGTTCTATTTTCCTCCGAAAATAATCATTTCCCCCTTCTGAATGTACACAGTAGCCTCACAGTTCCTAATTCCAAATTCCCAGAAAGAGGGTCTGATTACTTCATCTTGGTTACATGACTCAGGAAGTCGTGACTAGTGGGCTGTAAAGACTCACCCCTTTGAGTGTAGGCACAGTTCTCAGAGAAAAGAACTCAACCACACCTCAGTATGATTTCCTTTGTTCTTGAAATCACTGTGATCTGGCCAGTCTCTGTTCCTTGAAGAACTCAAGCTCTTTCCCACCTCAGGGTCTTCACATTTGCTATCCCTTCTGCCTGGTCCAGCCGTCACCATATTCTTAATGTAATCACCTCCTTTTTATCCTCCTGGAAAATCTAAGCTCAGAAGACACCTGACCCAACCATTCTGTCTACGCAAAATATTAGGTCATCAGGAAAATCATGACCTATCTTTTTATACAAAAATGTGTCATGACTTTCCCAATGACCCAATAGAACACTTTCTTGACTACTTTCCATCATAGCATCTGATTTACTTTTTTTTTGGAGAGGTTTTTGCTATAGGGCGCGTGCACTCGCCAGAAAGACAGAGAGAGACAGAGAGACAGAAAGCAAGAAATCACCCCCCCAGGGGGGATGGCCACTCCGCAGTCTTTTCTCCTCCATTCTCCCCTCGGGATCTTGGGCACGCACGCACACGTGCACGGCATGAATTTAAGCCATCAGGTCCGGGACTCGAACCATGGTCGACTACATGGGAGTCCAGCGACATAGCCATTACACTAACTGCTGGCCCCCCATTTACTTTTTTAATAGCATTTTCCAGCTTGTAATTACTCTATTTGATTTTTAATGATTTATTTTATCTATCATTAATATTTTAATTTGCTATAGGGCACATGTGCTCACCAGAGACAGAGAGAGAGAAAATGAGAAAACAAGCTACCAGGTCTGGTACTCAAACTGCCATCAGTCACATGGGAGTCCAGTGCCCTAACCACCCCACCACCTACGGGCCCCATTTGATTTTTTAAAAATATCAGCCTCCCTTTAGAATAGAAGCTCTGTAAGGACAAGGACAACGTCTGTCTCAATGCTTTTCAACTGGGGATGATTTCTCCCCCCAGGGGATGTTTTACAAAGTCTGGAGAGATCTTTTTGTTGTCACAATGTGGTGGGGGGAGGCGAAGTACTGTTGGCATCTCGTAGGTAGAGGCCAAGAGATGCTGCTAAACATCCTACATGCCCTGGACATCCCCACAACGAAGAATTATGCAGTCCAACATGTGAAGTGCTAAGGGTGAGGAACTTTGTTTTTTCTTCTTTTTTGCTAAAGGGTGCTTGCCAGAAAAAAAAAAAAAGAGAGAGAAAGTAAAAAGTTTCCCTCTCAACAGGATGGCCACAATTTTTTCTCCCCTATTTACTTCTTGGGATCTTGGACACTCATACACACACACACAGAGTGTTTTCCAAGCCACTGGTGTCTGGGACTCAAACCACAGAGTCAGCTCTGTGGGATCCAGCTACCTTAACCTCCACGCCACCTGCTTGCCTGAGAAACTCTCATTATCTTGTTCACCACTGTATCCTCCATACCAAGCCCAGTGCCTGATATCAAGGAGCCTTCAATATGTATTTACCGAGTTAATTTATTATGGAAGAATTGAGCCAAAAAATACGATCGAAACCCCAAATCTATAGTCTATATGCTGTGCTTATCCTCTTCCTTTATATTCTTTTCCTCTTTAGGAAAATAGATGCTGGCTGTTTTTCTAATGGCTACACAAACTAGTCATGTCTTCCACAGTCAAGATAATAACTTTCTGGAAAATCATTGGTAAGTGTTATTCTCTGATTTTGCAAATGAAAGCCACAACATTTTGCTCACAGAAGTTGAGGGGAAGGATCTGCCTCACAGTGAGACTGGGTAAATCAGCGTTGCAACATTTTATACTTGCCTTGGCTTTCGTTATCCATTGGGTCCTCGAGAAAGTCATGACTTCTTTTTTTTAAAGAATTATTTTATTTAACTTCATTCATTCATTCAGAGGGACAGAGTGTGTTCACTTGCACATGTGCGTGTGCATGCATACACACGCACGAGAGAGAGAGAGAAAGAGCAAACCGCCAGGTCCAGGACTCGAACCACAGTCGACCATATGGGAATCCAGCACCCTTAACCACCATGCCACCTGCTGGCCCCTATGATGTATTTTTCTATGCAAAAATGTGTCATGACTTTTCCAGCGACTCAAAAACTACCAGAATAGTATAATAAAATATCTCATGAACCCAGAGTCCACATTTTATTTATCAGAACTCTTTAGGAACACTTACCAGTTACTGCACAGAAATAAAAATGATTCTGGATCCTTTTAGGGAAGAGAAGAGGAACAGGCAGTATGAAGTCAGTGTCCAGGGCTGGGGTATTGATCAAATCACTTTATGTTTTGTAGCGTGAGGAAAAACATGGACAGACATCCAAAGAAGCAATTGAACCAGAAGGTTATGAATGGACTTGGCCAAGATCCAGACGATGGATTACTGGTCACACACATTAACCAGACACAGGACTTACTGGTAAATACCATAGCACTTTAACTGAAATCATAGCCTACAAATCATAGCCAGAGAATTTACACTGTGTTAAATCCTGAGTATTTGTTTCTTCTCATAAGACCCCAGGACGGGAAAAGAGTAATTAAGCATTCCTCTCTAATCCTCTGCCTTTAGAAATCTCTATGCTGAAGACTCTGCATGCTATTCATAGAAACTTGATAGCCTTCTTCACAACATGAAGAATTCAAGAGTGTGTGATGATTCTGACCATGTTATCAAAGCCTGAAGTCGAAGGGATTTCCTCCTGAAATTTTCCTTTTGGGATTTGTTTTTCTTTAGGACTTTCTTAAATCTAGATTTAAAAATCCCTTTTAGAAAATGCTATTGGAACCAGCAGTTAGCGTAATGGTTATGTCGCTGGACTCCCACATAGTTAACCGTGGTTCAAGTCCCGGACCCAGTGGCTTAAAACTCATGCCAGGTGCGTGCGCATGTGTGCCCAAGATCCCAAGAGGAGAACAGAGGAGAAGGGATTGCGGCGTGGCCATCCACCGGGGCGGGGGGGTGATTTCTCATTTTCTGTCTCTCTGTCTCTCTCTGTCTGTCTGGCAAGCGCACGTGCCCTATAGCAAAAAAAAAAACAAACAAAAAAAAACCCAAAAAACAAACAAACAAAAAAACCTTCTCCAAAAAAAGAAAATGCTATTGAAGCAAAAAGGTTATGACGAGTGACTGCCTTTAGAATAACTAGACTATGGTTTTAGGCTGATTGTCAGCATGTAAATAAGCTGCCTTCCCAAGAGAGTGAGTGAATTGCCGAACTCAAAATTCATCCTACCATGGAAACATTTACATGAGTGGGTGCGGGGACAAGGCTGGCCACGAACATCTCCTTCCTAATCTACATTCGAGCTGATGATAATCAGTCAGGAACAATGCAGTGGTAATGCTAGCCATGAAACAATCATAAAAATAGTCATGCTTTACTTTTCTCACGTTTTGGTACTCCCAGGAGAGCAAGTCGAATGAAAAGGAAATGAGGAAAGGTCCGCACTAGTGTTTAGAACGGAAGGAATCTTTCGATGATTTCAGCTGTCGTTGAAATGGCATATTATACCATTTAATTTCGTATTAGTATACATGACTTTGCAGGTGGACAGAGGACCACTCCTACATTTCCCAGCCACAGCTGGGGCCTCCTTCGCCTCACACATCTAGAGCAGTGGGAAAGAGGAAAATGACCGCTGGACACGAAGATGTGCCCATTTTCTATGTAGAGCGCCTCCTTTTGTGTCTGATCAGCATGGCCGAGAGTCCAAATCTACATTATGCTTAATAGTGGCTCTTCAGGGACCAGCAGTTAGCGTAATGGCTATGTCACTGGACTCCCATGTAGTCAACCACAGTTCGAGTCCCGGACCTGGTGGTTTAAACTCATGCCGGGTGCATGTGCGTGTGTGCCCAAGATCCCGAAAGGAGACTAGAGGAGAAGGGATTGTGGTGTGGCCATTCCCCCTGGTGGGGGTGTTTCTCACTTTCTATCTCTCTGCCTCACTCTTTCTGGCAAGCACATGTGCTCTATAGCAAAAACCTCTCAAAAAAAATAGTGGATCTTCAAATATTTGTAATACAAAATTCAGGTCCTAAAGCATAACAGGTCCATTCAAATGAAAGAAAGGTGGAAGGAAGGTGGATTATGACTATCACGCTCAGCGTTACACCAACCCGGGAGACTGTTGGATCCTGAAAGACGCGAAGAGTGACATCTAGTGTTCATACCATGTGCAGCGACGGTTCCCTAAGTGTGGGCCAAGTATGATCTGATCTGACGTGGTGCTGTTCACGGGCAGGGCATTCTTTAGTAGAAAATCACACAGAACATGATCTTGTCAGTCAGTTCTCTCAATCCTTCATGGAGATAGTCACAGAGATAGCCCAGTTTGCTGGTAGGGAGACAATACAGTGTCCTGGTTACCAGCGTGACCAGAGTTAAAGCTCGTGTTTAAATCCCTGCTCTACCACTCTAGCTGCATGACCTTGGACGTTTCTTAAACCCCTCTGTGCCACAGTTTCCTTGTGGGTAAAGCAGGGTTACAGCGATGGGACCTATTTTGTAGAATGAGATGAGTTAATATATGGAAAGTGTTTTACATACAATAAGTGTGCTCTTTGAATGTTTGCTGTAATTATGAGTACATTTTCACACTTCTTTAACACTTGCTGATTAAAAAAAAAAAATCAGAGTGGAGCAGGCTTCAGGCACAGAACTTAAGGCATCCAATACTATCCAACCGGAATATAATCGCATGTTATTTTCACTGTCTTTTTTTTTTTTTCCTCAGACGGTTTGTTTTATTTTTGTAAGTTTATTTCATGAAAAAGAATGTACACCCCTCGCAGGGTCTGTCACATCATGATCCCCTTCCCCCAGTCCTTCAGTTAGTCAGGATCTGGAAAGAATACACCTGGCATGTTTGAGGTCAACTTGGGATCCGAGCCCGTGCTCAGCCTGTGGCTTCCAGCACTGCAGATCATTATGCTACACCTGGGCCACCTAGGGTAGGCCTAGGTTTCAGGGTGACCTTCTCCTTATGGCCAAAGCTGAGGAGGAGCTAAGGATCATTGCTGGGAGCTGTTTATACAGAAGCACCTCGGGCTGTGCCCTCCACTGCAGCTTAGTGAGCCCTGTAGTGAGCCAGGTGAAACCTGGGAGCTTGTCTTGCAGTGAGCTAGGTGAGCGGGTGGGGGAGCTCAGTGTCACAGAGCTAGAAAATGGAGAGCTTCAGGGTTTTGCATGCCTTTCTTCTTCTCTCCCATTCTTCCTTCATCCTATCCAGGGTATTTCCTTCAGCTTTAGGACTTTCCTCCCCCCTCTCCTACCTCATCCACTACAAGGAAAGCTCTGACATAGACAAGCTCAGCCAGAACCCACTTACAGTCGAGCAGGTACCCAGGAGACATCTTTGAATCCAGATTGGATCCCAGTGGGTTAGAAAGGGCTCAGGCTCACTCAGCAGGTGCCTCAGGGTAGTGTCTCTCACACTGGGACTGACCTGATCCCCCCTCATGATCCCAGTCCATACCCTAAGTGAGTCATGGTCAACTCCAGCAACATGGAAAACCTATTTGTGCCACCTAAACTGCAGTGGGAGTACTGGAAGCTCTGAGAGAGTCCCTGCCTCACCCAGGCCTGTACACCTTTCCAGCTTCATCTCCTGGCACATTATCCTGGAGGGGGCAGAACTCACAAACCTAAAACAATACAGTGAAGACAAGTGTGGAAATAAACAAAGCCACTCAAATGAGAAAGGCAGTTTATTCAGAGCTTGTCAGAGCATGGGAATCAGTCACCATCCCTCGTGTTTGGCAGATACTCAGAGGCAGGCAGGGAAATAGGGAAGCTTGATCATGAAAAACAGGGACAACTTCAGGCATGCCTGATTGGAGGTTGTTTCAAGGTGAGACCCTGCAAGCAAAACGACCTTCGAAGCTCAAAGGAACTGAGAGACCAAAGGATGAAGTAGACAAGTCCAGTTTATGGGAATGAGCTGATTAAGGGAAGTTGGAATCAGAAGCAAAGTGTTAGGTGGCTGCATGATAAGTAGATCTCTGCTCTCTTCACCCCCAAAGCGTATCTTACGTAGCTTGTACAGGAAGGAGTTATAAAGAAGAATAGCATAGAGAAGCACTGAGGAAGGTACAGAGCAGTTTCGGATGTCAATCCCGCATCTTAACTGTGATCAGGGGAATGCAGCTCCCTGGGGAAGGATAATAGGTAGGTTTACTACAACGGCTTAAGCTACATTCCAACCTTGGGAATGTCACCAAGGAAATTTGGAGCTAAATGTTGGTCAAGTTGGTGGATTAACTTCAAGATGGAGTGACTTTAGTTGGTTCTACCACAGAGGTTATTGGCTTGAGAGGCTAGAACTGGGTTAATTAGAAGCAAGGTATTTTACGTGATTGGTTTCGGGAGCATATTTGGCTTTTTCTGGTTGGTTCCAAGCTGGAAGCAGGGACAAAAGTTAGGGAAGCTGGTAGTTATTAGCCAAATCCTGATCATTCTGGACCAGTTGCTAGAGAGGTTAGGAGTCAGAGTTCCATTGTCATATTGCCCAGCCATGGTACATTTGTATATTCAGTCTCACAGAGCAGGATATGGTGAGTGACCCTTGAGTTGTCTAAACACACACTGGGGATGAAGTGAGAGGCAGGGAATGGGTAGTCTTTCCAAGGCAACTGACCCTGCACCCGGGCCTCCACATTCATCTATTCCCTCAGCAACCCGAAGTTTTAGATTGTTTTAAGGTAGGAGCAGTCGGAATTGACAACTCTTGGGTATCATGTGAAGGAGACCTAGGGTATCCTTGGTCTTTTATTCCCTTTCTATGGTTTGCTATTTGATTCTGGCTTTTGTCTTACAGAGGCTGCAGGGGAGCGAGACCCAGTCTTCAGCTGGGGAGGACTCTGAAGACTGGCTTTCAACTCATAGTTTAAAATTCGAGAAGCTCACCTTAGCTGATCTGATCAATCAGGGCACAGCAGTGCTGTAAGTCCAAAGCCATTCCCCTCACCCCTCCAAGGCTGTGGTGACATATGCAGCCCCCCTGGGCTTCAGAGGCTCTTCATAAGGTTTTACTTCTTTAGGGAAGAAGGCAGCAATATCATGCAGAAAGTGCATTTCTCCAGCCAGACCATCTGCCATTTTGAATCAAAGCTTTCTGAGTAAGTATGTTTCTCAATGTCCTCTCCAAACCGAAAGTTCAAAACTGATCTCATTTTGGCAAGCTGAAAGTAGCAATCTCTCTGGTGCTTTGGCCAGATCTCTTCACATTTCTAGCCCTAGTATCCTCTTTTCTCAGACAAAGCAGTTGGACCAGATGAGGGTCTCTCAGCCATCAAAATCTGTGGTCCCTTTGGATAAACACTTAAAACCTCACAGCTTCATTTGATGTTTAATGGTTAAGAATGACTACTTTTATTAAGGCTTTCACCATCAAGCACATGCAATCACTAGAGAGAGAGAAAGTGAGTGAAAGGGAAAGTGAGAAATAGCACCCCCTGGGAGTGGGATGACCACACTGCAATCCCCTCTCCTCCATTCTCCTTTTGGGACTTTGGGCATGTACACACAGAGACCTGGCAAGATTTTTAAGCTGTCAGGTCCAAGACTTGAATTGCAGTTGACCTGTGGGAGTCCAACACCTGAACCATCACACCACCTGCTGGTCCCAAGGATGACTGCTTTCAATGTCAGATTGGTTTGGGTCATACTTCTGCAAATTTATGTGAAATATATGTATATAGGCATACATTCCCACTCCTAAACCAGATTTTGATAGCACGTGTAGGCATGCAAACATATATACCCATACACACAAATATCTCTCTTGATCATCGGTAGACAGGATGGTCCCTAAGATTCCATCCCAGCTGTGACAATCAGTGATCTATCATTACTGTTTGCCTGAGGTTTCTTTAAACTTTATTACATTTATTAATTTGTCAGACATTCTGCTTAGAGTTTCATGCATTATCTGATTTAATCCTTACAACAACCCAAAATGTTATGTTACTTTCAAGCTAGTTAACCAAAAGTTAATTGCTAAATGACCACTTATAGAATGGCAAATGGTCAAATTTATCAAAGCATTTTAATTGGAAAATTTATAGTAATTTGTATATGGTTGGAAGGTCAAACAGGTTTTAAAGAATTCTGCAATACTTTGGTTGCTTATTTTTAATCATGAATCCAGCATTTTAAGAAACATTCAAATCTATTTAGCTAATTAGTCACTTGGAAAATTGATTCTCAGTAAATTTACGTTTGGCAAATTGACTTGAATAGAGTCCTATTATTATTTTCATGTCAGAGATGATGAAATCTGGACTCAGAGCAGTTACCCCACCTATCCAAGGTCACACAATTAGTAAATGGCAGAGCTGTCTCACTGTAAGAGTCACCTCTTAACTCCATCCACACTAAAGTATTCCTTACAGCCATCTGCCACCCTCTGCCCATCCTTTCATATCCATATGCCTTCCTTGTCCCTGTCTAGGCCCTCAAGTCCCACCTGCCCTCACTGGAGGGAAATCAATTAAATTCAAGTGACTGCATCCTGACCTTGAGCACCGCTCCATGCTAGTCTCCAGCCAGTCACCGGAATGGTCACAGTACAGGAATTCAAGAAGATCCTCTGTCTACTTTTCAGGAACTCCATGTTAATTGGTCCAGCAAGAAACTGCTGCTGAACTGCTTCTGTTGTGCCTCTGTGGCCAGTTCCCAGGAGACTAGGAACAGTTTCCTCTGAGAAAACACAGATTTGGGACCAGCAGTTAGTGTAATGGCTATGTCGTTGGACTCCCATGTAGTCAACTGCGGTTCAAGTCCCGGTCCTGGTGGCTTAAACTCATGCAGGGCGTGCATGTGTGTCCAAGATTCCGAGAGGAGAATGGAGGAGAAAGGATTGCAGCATGGCCATCCCCTCTGGGGGGGGTGATTTCTTGCTTTCTGTCTCTCTGTCGCTCTCTGGCTTTCTGGCGAGTGCACGTGCCCTATAGCAAAAACCTCTCCAAAAAAAGAAAAGAAAAGAAATAAAAGAGAAAACACAGATTTGAGCAAGTGCAAGAGTGTTCTTCTGGGACCAGCAGTTGGTGTAATGGCTATGTTGCTGGACTCCCACGTAGTCGATCGTGGTTCAAGTCCCGGACCCGGTGGCTTAAACTCACACCAGGCGCATGTGCGTGTGTGCCCAAGATCCCAAGAAGAGAATGGAGGAGAAGGGATTGCGGCGTGACCATCCCCTCTGGGGGGTGATTTCTCGCTTTCTGTCTCTATGTCTCTCTCTGTCTGTCTGGCGAGTGCACGCGCCCTATAGCGAAAACCTCTCCAAAAAGAAAAGAAAAGAAAACCAGTCCCATCCACCCCTTCGTTCCGTGTATGTAAAGCTGTTGCTCAGTGATGAAGCCCCCTGCGGTCATAATTCCTTCCGATGTTTTGACAGAGTTATTGAAGCCTACCAGCAGAGAATGCAGTGGCTCGCAGAAAACAGCAAGAAGGTAACAGGCATAGATTTTATTCTTTGTTTAGCATCTGCTAGAACCCTTTCAGGTGTGAATGGTAGACTTCCAACTTACTGGCTTCAGCTAAAAAGGAACTTTCTTAACTCACATAAATGAAAAGCCTATACACAGCTATATCCAGGTCCTCAAATGTCATCTCTTTGCCTCTGGGTTCTGCTTTTATGTGAGTTGGTTTCATTATGAGGATGGCTCTCCCAGGCTTAGGAAAATGGTCACAAACAACTCGAAGCCCACATACCACCATCTAGACAACCCCAGTCATGAAAGACCTCATTTCCTGTTCCCTGTGTTCTCCCAAGTCCTGGGATTAATTCTCATTGGACTAAATCACCATAGCCAAGGAAATAAAATATACTAACTGGCCTGATCTGGAATTAGTGCTCACTCCTGGTTAAAAAAAAAAAAAAAATGAGGTGGAGACATGGGAGGAGACTGGGTGAGCACCCCCAAACCTCATGGACTGAGCAAGGGAGACATGGTTGCACGAGAGAAGCCAGAGTGGTGCTATCAGACGGGGAAGTGGATCCTGGGCAGGTGGGACCCACAGAGGTCCGCCGGCCCTATAACAAGATCCATAGGACTACGGCTGGCCATCTAGACAGATCTTTTCTTGAAAATGTGACCATTTTCCTCAGACCACAAGGTAGAAGAGTGATCATGAGCAAATTAACCTTTGCTTTGCTTTTTCATTTGTTTTTCTTTCTTTTTCTCCAACTGATATTTTCTACTGCTTACACCTGTAGACACAGTACTCTTATTTTAACACCCGGGACAGACAAATGATAAAGTCCATGTTCCCCACTCCCACTTTCCACTTCTGCCCAAGACCAGTAAATAACAACACGGTGCGGAGGCTGCCTGTCCCATGATTCCTGGGCGTAGTACACCTCAGATCCAGAATCTTCTTCGTTTCTTGGGCTGATTGGCAGATGCATGTCTCCAGCTATGGCACACTTCTTCTGGTTGCCCTTGGTAACACAGGCCAAGAGAACCCAGAGGGATGACAGCTTCACTTTTCCAAAAAACATCCATTTAGGAAATGCTGGCACCTGTCCTCGCACCTTTGGCAAAGCGGGTAGTGATTGATAGGCCCTTCTTCCCTCACTGCTTCTGATGGAGGCATGAAACAAACCTAGATTGGATCCTAGGGAAATGATTACCTGCAAATCAATTCATGAGGACTCTAGTCTATCACTGGTCTTAGTTCCCTGATTCGTCAGTGAGACCATGGACAAGTGCCTCACTTGTCTGGGCATCTATCTGGATATCTGTGGGGGACAAAAGCAGAGTTATAAACTGGTAGCATGCAGGCCAAAACATAGCCATATTTTTCTTGGCCTCATAGCTTTAAATATTTTTTTATTTAGTTGCCAAATTTAAAAAACCCTGATATTTTTCTTTTATGTCTGCTTTCAGACATTTCTTACAGGATGAGAATAATTGGTATCACTAGGCTCCAATGACCTCTTATGTACCTGTCTAGTTATTTCTATGGGATATATTTCTAGAATGTCAATGACTGGGTTTAAGGGAACGTGTGTTTTTGATTACAAAAGCTATAAAACCCTAATGGAAGCTTTTTTAAATGTTTAAAAGAAATATAACCGACTCTAAAATTTGACTTCTTCTGGTCCCTGAGGATTGGCAATATCCTAGGAAGCCTCATGCTTCCTTTGGGTCATGAATTCAGCAACTATTTATTGGGCAGTTACTGCGTGTCAGGCACTAGTCTCGGATCGAGAGTACAAACTTGACCAAGAAGGTCTGACTTCCTAGGGCTTACAGTCCAAAGAGGAGGACAAACAATTAATAAATTAACAACCCTATGCAAAGTCAGTTAGTGCTAGTGCTTTAAAGAAAAAGAAAGCAGGGCTAGGGAATAGAAAGTGGAATAGAACGGGCCGGGCCACAGAGCCGTACCAGAGCTACAACCATAAACCTACGACAGTGACATTAAATGTAATGCACTTGACCATCCTGAAACTATCACCCACCCCCAACCCAGTCTGTGGAAATATTCTCCTCCATGAAACCAAGCCCTGGTGCAAAAAAACACTGAGGAATGCTGGACTAGATGAGGGCTATTTAAATACAATGGTCAAGAAAACTACTCTGTGGAGGAGACATTTGAACTGACACCTAAAGAAACTGAGGGAGTGAGCCACATCTGTTGAGAACTAGGGGAGAGTGTTCCAGACAGAAGGAACAGCAAATGCAAAGACCCAGATGGAGGACGATCTTCGTGTATTCCAAAAGCGACGGCAGGCCAGCGTCGTAATCTGGATAAGAACTGAAGGACGTGAGGTTAGATAGGCAGGTTCAGATGAGAGAGAGCCTTATTCCAAAGGTGAGGGTTTCAGTTTGGTTTATTTAGTTAGTTTGTTAGTTTGTTTGTTTTTTGCCAGAGGGCATTTGTGTTCAGAGAAAGGAGGAGAAATCATCTCCATTGGGGTGTGGTCATACTACAATCCTTTCTCCTCCGCTTCGTCTTATCAGTGTTTTAGTCTCACACGCACATGTGCCCAGGTGTGTTTTTCAAGCCACCGTGGCCAGATTTCAAACAGTTGGCCATGTGGGATCTGACTCCCTTGACATGAATCTGACAGGTTTCCAAAGGGTCACTCTGGTGACTGCATAAATTCACTACAGAGAACAAAGGTGGAAAGAGGAAGATCAGGCTAGGTGCCCTGACAAGGATGGCAGCAAGGATGGCAGCTTCCACTCAAGATGGTAGCTTAGACTGAAATGCTGGATGAGATGAGAAATGGTGGGTTTGGGACACAGTCTGAAGGTAGAGCCAGCAGGACTTTCTGATGGAGGACAAGTTTGGGCCCAGAGTGCCTGGGTTTAGGCTGACTGCCATTTACTGAGACGTGGAAGGCTGAGGGAGAAACAAGTCTGAGAGGAGAACCAAGAGGTCTTGTTTTGGACATTTGGACTGTGAGGGACTTACATCTGCCCAGATATTCAGGCAGAGATGAGGAACAGGCTATTCGATGCATGTGACTGGAGCTCAAGGGAGATCTGCCCAGAGATGGTATTGAAAGACATGAGGGGCCAGCCGGTGGTATGATGGGTAAGGTGCTGGACGCCCACATGGCTGACCACGGTTCAAGTCCTGAACTGGGCGGCTTGCTTTCTCGCTCCCCCTGCCACCTTGTGTGAGCACATGCCCTATAGCAAATTTAAAAATAATAATAATGGGACCTGCAGATTGCATAATGGTTACATTGCTGGACTCCCACGTAGTTGGCTGTGGTTTGAGTCCCAGAGCCAGAGGCTTAAAACTCATGCCAGGTGAATGTGCGTGTATGCTCAAAATCCTGAGAGGAAAGTGGTGAAGAAGGGATTGCAGCATGGCCATCCCTCCGGGGAGTGATTTCTCACTTTCTTTTTTTTTTTTATTCATACATTAAATCGCTATACATCATTTAGATTGTGAAGAGACTTTACCCAGGATGATTTACACCTCAGTCCAGCCCAGTTGAGACTACCATACACATCCTCATCAACAGATAATAAATCTTATTTGTGTCTCACAAGTGTCTTACCTCTCCATTTTCCCCCAAAATTTCCTACGCTCCTACCCTCCCACACTCTT